TTAACTTGAAAATTGAAAAGCTCTATGAAAATTAGGTAAATCAGACTATTCATGAACTATAATTTTCAACTATTTTTCAAGTTAGTTTCACTTCATAACATAAACTTAACTTCTTCATCAACACTTTAATAATTAAATTTATGTTATTTAAAAATTTTTCCTGGGCAGCTGCCGGTTCCGCCGCGCTCCAGGTATCTTCTTCTGAACGCAAGCTGCCTCATCATATGTTTCGAGGATGGCTCTTCCTATCATTGTAAAATGGGGTAGACAGGAATATTTCAGAAGATGATACTATGCTAGATCTCAATTTCTCAAGACCCTTACGGGAGTGCTACCAAAATGTCAGAAGTTACTTGGACTCAAAGTAAAAGGCAAACCTGCAGAAAATTATGTTAAGCTTGGAGCTCTCAAACTGAAACCAAATACTAAAATCATGGTGATAGGAACTCATGAGGAGAGCTTGGAAGATGCCTTAGGTCCACCTCCTGACAATGATGATGTTGTTAACGACTCTGATATTGAAGATGAAGTAGCTGAAGTAGAAAATAGGGAGGAAAACCTACTGAAAATTTCCCACAGAGTAAAAGAGTACGAAGTGGAAATTTTGAATCCTCCCAGGGAAGGGAAAAAACCTTTGGTACTAGGTGTCGATTATATATTATTTGACCATAGTCTCTTGTGCAGATACTGGGATAGAATTAATGTTGCCATATCTTCATGAATTCCTAACATCTGCATATGAGGATTATGACATTGTTATCTGATCTGCAACGAATACGAAGTGGATTGAAGCTAAAATGAAAGAGCTGGGAGTGAGTACAAATGCAAATTACAGTGCTGCTATGATAACAGTGCATACTCCAAGGAGAGGATTAATAGATGTAAAGCCTCTTGGTGTTATATGGGGAAAGTTTTCAGAGTTTTACAGCAAAACAACCCATCATGTTTGATGACATAGGAAGAAATTTTCCAATGAACCCACAGAATGGACTAAAGATAAGACCTTTTATGAAAGCACACCTAAATCGAGATAAAGACAAAGAACTTTTTAAAATTAACCCAGTACCTCAAGGAAACAGCAAAGTTAGATGACTTTTTGGACCTAAATCACAAATATTGGGAAAGGTATCTCTCAAAGAAGCAAGGACAGTAGTTACAAGCTATACTGGCAGTTACTGAAGATGCTTGAGATCCATGAATTTCTTTTCGCTTTTATGCTAAAGATCATTATGATAGTGCTTGACATTGCAGTAAATACCAGACTGCTTATACTTGGTCTTCCAGTTTTTTGTAAATTTAATTTTATATTTTTCGAAGATCATAGCGTTATGCAAAAAAAAAAAAAAAAAACTTTTTCTCCCTGTATGAATATACTGTAACTCCTGAAAAATATTTTCTCCAGCATAGAGTACTGAGTTTCTTTCCACACACACACACACAAAAAGTGGACAAAAATGTATACTTAACAATGTCATTTTGTGACTTTGGAAACAATTATGTCTTGTGTTTTTGTCTCACTGTGTTTTTATCTAAGCCCAAACCCAATTTGAAAATACTATTTTTTTTAATTAATTTATTTTTTTTTGCGGTACGCGGGCCTCTCATTGTTGTGGCCTCTCCCATTGCAGAGCACAGGCTCCGGACACGCAGGCTCAGTGGCCATGGCTCACAGGGCCAGCCTCTCCGCGACATGTGGGATCTTCCCGGACCGGGGCACGAACCCGCATCCCCTGCATCAGCAGGCGGACTCTCAACCACTGCGCCACCACAGAAGCCCTGAAAATACTATTTTTAAAACCAAAAAAAGAGAAGTTTTTAGTAAGAAACCTAGTTTGGTATGCTTAAAACCACTGAGAGTTTTTCTCATTCCTTTGTCATAAACACAATTTCTTTTATTACTTCACTACTTAACATCTCTAAATTCTGAGCTGTCTCAGTTTGGTGTGTATGTGTGTCAGTGTTCTTTAAGTAAAAGTGGAAAATGTCTGCTCTGATAGATATGTCATAGTGTGACAAACAGAAAACATGAGACTGAGGAATGAAACTAAGGAACAAGAGTGTGTTTCTTTGTGGTGGCCAAGTAGAAGCACTCCTGCCTAAAACCACTGTCCTAAAAGCAGTTAAAGGCAGTACATTTTGAAATGGGACATATCACTGATTCAGCCCTAAAAAGCATGAACAGAAAGTTTTCGTCCTGTTCCAGCTCTGTCTTCTCTAAGTGCAAACACTGCGTTACAGTGAAAATATCTAGCCATAAGATTAAAAAGAAAAATTTATTTGCAATGCTTATGCCTGCAGGTATGTAATATGACCACTGTTTTGTGTTGACAGTATTGCTTTATACAGTTTTCTATTTGAAAGGAATCTGATTCTTTCAAATAAGTATGGTACATATTGTTCTTACGGGGGACTATTTCAGTGATGTAAATAATAAATTCCTTTTCTCAAAAAACAAAAAAAAAAATTTTCCTTCTTTCGATTAAGTCAACTAGCTCTGCCTCCTTCATGTTGAACAAATAAGAGTTTAATATTCCTGTATAAGCATACACATATACATAGTTTATAACAATGTTCTAAGAAATATATTACCCTGGTCAATGGAATATATTCTTCTGAAAGTTGTAATATATTTGAAAAATAGTTATAAAATATGACACAAAAACAAATATGACATTATTTTACTGATCCTGTTGGACTAAAGCAATACTAATCCTGAGGCATTCTTTTAAAAATAAATCTAATGAAGTAAAATATTAACAAAAATTCCATGTATTGAACATCTGGACTATCTGAACACTACATAAACTGAGGCTCAACTAAACTTCACTGAAATTTTCCATATACATATTCAAATATTTAGATTTCTTATAAAATTGCATAAAAACTATAATCCAGGGAATTCCCTGGCGGTCCAGCGGTTAGGACTCAGTGCTTCCACTGCAGGGGGCACGGGTTCGATCCCTGGTGGGGAACTAAGATCCCGCATGCTGCAGGACGCAGCTAAAACAAATAAAAACCAATACAAAACAACAGTATACACACAAAATTAAAAGCAAGTGATTATATGAGTAGACAGAGTGCCATTCTATTTTCCATTTTTTGTAATGTTTTGTTTAAACGTTTAGAAAAGTATACATATTTTTAAGAAACAGTCCCTGGCATCTCGAAAGGAATTACAGGGGCAGTGGCCTTTTCTAAAATGACAAACCAACACCCTTGAGCTCAGAGTCACACTAAAGCTGGTGAGATTTCACATTCCTCACCACACAATGGCTCTTTCATCAATACTGGAAACTGCCTTTGTGAGAATATTGCTAAGAATGGATGGAATTCTCAATGTTGCAAGCACCCATTGAATTACTTAAAAGAACAATGAATGAATGAGTAATTAGAAATGTTTCTTGAGCTCAGACATATTTATATTACAAAAGGAAAGACCTGAATCTAGCATTCTCTCCAGAGCAGTTCAGGATGAACAGATTAAGTCTGTTAACTGAAGGCATGGGTTCCCAAATGCTTTGCCAACAAAACTGTTAGAGTTGCCTTCTCCTTGGCCAACTAATGATTTTAAATCCTACTTGACTCATGACTATTGTTTAATTGCTTGCTTGTTTGTCGTTTATACATACTTTGCTCCACAAAAGAAAAACTTAACCAACAATGAAATGAAATCTGATCCTCATGCCTCCCTCACCCCTAAAGAGGTGCACTTTTGAATGGGCAACTAAAAACTGCATAAAGACAATATATTAAGTTTTTTAAAAAGTATGTCTCAAAAGATCTCATACAATATGATATCCTTTTTATAAGATTAAAACCAATTAAAAATACATATACTTGGGCTTCCCTGGTGGCACAGTGGTTGAGAGTCCGCCTGCCGATGCAGGGGACACGGGTTCGTGCCCCGGTCCGGGAAGATCCCACATGCCGCGGAGCCTGCGCGCCCGGAGCCTGTGCTCCGCAATGGGAGAGGCCACAACAGTGAGAGGCCCGCGTACCGCAAAAACAAAAAAACAAAAATAAAATACATATACTTGGGGAGAATACAAGGAAATAAACCCTGACCTCAGGATGATGGTTAGCTTAAATGAAGGAAGGCCAAAGGATAGATTAATGAAAAGGACAATACGGTTAGTTTACTACCAAGGTCCTAGCTTTTGTTCTGGGTGGTGGATTCCCAGATGATTATGACATTATTTTAAGACAGACAAACAGATAGATAAAAATAAACCCAGCATGGAGCAATGATGAGAGTGTGTTATGAATCAAGGATTACTGAACCTGAAATGAGATGACATGAAACGACCTGGCACAATATGAGAGGAAATGAAAATAAAAATTGTTTCATTAACAATTGTTTTACTAACACCCAAACTATAATCTCTGGATCATCTTTAAAATGCACTCATCCAGGTTTTATAATTTTCTGCTTCGATTTCCCTAACATTTTCAATTGTACTGCACAAAGCAATGTGCTCTCCAATGGATGTGAGATCTTCTACCACCATCAATGCACCTTCTGCTCATAGAGCAGTACCTAAACAGGAAGGTAAAAAGGTAGCACAGAGAAAAATGCTGCTGATTCATCTACTGATTCTCCAGAATGGAGCTCAAAATGCCCAATAGCCTCCAAAGAGGCAATTGGTGATTCTTATTAATTCACTCAATACTTACTAAATGCCAACTACATGTCAAATGTCATGATAAGCGTTGGATCCTTCACACTTATGATTAGGACAGTCCTAACAAATACTTGAGTCCAGTCCATCATCTTCCAGAATCAACATACTCCTCAGGTCAAAGAATCAAGATAACTTTTCCCACCCTTTATTTGGCTACTTCCCTATACAAGCAAATGCTGAAGCAGCTCACTTACAAAGTGAGGTTACACTGGCTCCCCAAAATTAAAAGATGTCAAATCTCTATTATAAGAATTGGGAGAAAAAAATTGCGTCTTCAACAGATGAGATTTCATGTAAGTATATCACTGTTTGTGTTACCTGCTATCTCCAAAAGTGTGTTTATGTGATCTCCTTCTGCCAGCTTCACAAATCCAACATGATTTCCAAAAGTGTCAACCCCTTCAAAGGGCAAAGTCAAAGTTTTTCCTTGGAGGATTTCTTCCACAAATGGTTTTAATTCCAAAAGAGCATCAATACCACTGGTAAGAAATAATATATTTTTCAGTAACATATTAAGTAATAAAATATACAAAACCAAATGAGAAACAGTTTTAGATAAATTAATTTTTATACTTGTACTAATTAATGCTCAAAATACCTTCAAAATCTAATCCACATGATCAAAATAAAATATTAATTTTTAACAAAATCTGTAGAAGTGAATTAATCTTTACATAATTATAATTTATTTTATATTAAAGACACAAAAGAAGATATAGTTCACCAAAAGGTTTTTAACCATGGAAATACTGCATGGACAACTAAAAAAGAATATTACTGACAGTATATTGCAGAAAAACCTAATACCTCCAAAACATTATATTAGATTATGTGAAAGTTCTAGATTCTTGTTAAAAGTACTAATACTTATATAGTATTTAGTATTTGTGAGGCACTCTACTAAAATTTAAAATACGTTATCTCTTTAAAATATAGTAGTCTCCACAATAAGATAATTTATTATACTTGGGTTCAACCAAAGTGCAATTTATATTTACCAACTACAGCTACATAAGTTTGTTGTATCTGTTTAGCCTCTATGGGCTAAATAGCCTCTAAGGGCTATTCTGTGTTTCAAATGCATTATTTTTCTTTCTAAAAATAAATGTTTACTACATTAGTGAATTAGACATTATAAAGTTTGGAATATTTTGAAAATTAAGATCAATTATTTCCATAGTAAGAGGAGTTTGGTATAGGTACTTTATTATGAGAAAAAAAATAAAATCTCACTAGAGGGCAGCAATTACTCAAAAAAGAAATAAGGACATTATTACATTATAGAGAGGGGTTTAAAACACCATTCTGGTGAACCACCATTAATTTAAATTATCTTGATCAGCAATTTGTTCGCCAGTAGTAATTATGTCAAATGTGTGAAAAGAAATTTAGGTATTTTTCTAGATCTTTCATATTTCTAAATTAGTATTCATATAAAATTTTTAACTGATTTTCATCCATAGCTCCCATACTGAGTCTTCTCTGTCAAAACAATACATAATACTTCAAAATAGCTTTAGAAATGTCAGCATTTCTCGTTGTACCTCCAAATCCACATCCAAAATCCAATCTTGCCTACCTATATTTATGTTCACCCAAAAAGACATACTTCTGCTATAATACTGTCCTTCACCACACACTGAGTTAAAGCATGTGAAAACAGATCAGCCACTTCTGGCTCATCTACCATAAATGAGGGGAATTCAATATACTCATTTTAAATGTAACTCTATATGAAAGTAGGCCACCCTAAAGGTCAGGATTTTTCAGAGACAGTGAATTCTATACCCCATTTTTCTTTAAAGAAATATAGATGATCTAAATTCAGTCCAGTTTTTCAGTTCTTCAGTATCATAAATCAATAAATTTGTCCTAATGAGATGTCACTGGTCACAGAGTGAAAGGAGTCATAGTGCCTATTGATAAATATCACTAACTTTCAAATTCTTTTAAATAGAGTATCTTTTCAAGAACGGTTTATGGAAAGACTTCTTTATGGTAAAATGAATAGAGTACAGGCACGTAGGAAACAATTCTGAAACTAGAGTTCAGACCCAAAGGTTGTACTTAAAACTGAAATAGGACAGCATCTTTGCAAATCAGCATCTGGGCTAACATATTTCTATTCTTTCTTCTGCACTATGAGGACACAAAGGGTGATACCTACCTGAAGAAATTCATTATTAAAAAAAAAAGTTTCTGCATACTCCATATCCAATCCATTGATCAATACTTTATTAAACACCTAAAATATGATACTAGACTTCGAAAAGTAAGAATATAGAACAAGAAACCAACAATATCTGTCTCTAGCATATTATACTGTATAGGATGAAAGATTAAATTTAAAAATTAGGGACTTAGAAAATCCTTCATATAAACAATGTCTTACCAGGAAAGCCAATCAGGTTCACTCTCACTATACAGCTACCCAAAATGAAGCCACATCTTGAATCTCATCATCACCTAAAAGTCGATACTTCTGCCACAAACACTTCCCTGGTTCCCCAAACTAGAAGCATATCTTCTCTCCTTTGCAATTCCATTAATACTTAACACCAATTGAAACATACCAATTTTTACATTTATCTATTATAGTTACTTGGGTCCGTATGACCTAGTCAACTACCTGGTATAATCCATGAGTACAAGATCCATTCATGGTTCATCTTTATTTTCCCCAAAGCACTTAGCTCAGTACCTAACACATGGTTGGAAATTAATGTTGGTCAAACTGTAAAATACTATCTTGTCTATATAGCAAACTTCAACTATTACTTAGATCTTTCATTACAACTTAGTCAAGAATAATTGCTAAATTGGAAATATCTGGTCATCATTTTCCAGTAGAGCTGTGACTCCCAGTATCATAAAGTAGCATAAGAATGTCACTTTAATCCTTCAAACACAAAGTAGACTTGCTAAATATTTAATTTTTTACACAAAACTGAAATTTGCAAACAGACATTGTAAAACACGGGGCTGAATGACTCAGACCGTCACTGTGCTCTGTACTGTAACTCTTCAACAAGTGATGCCACAATTTAGGGCAACACAATGCCTCCTAGTTCAGAACTGTCCCATGTACTACAGGTGATTTAGTAACACTGAGACCTGCCCACAAATACCCACGGCACTCCTCAGTAATTGTGACAACCAAAAATACCCTCCAGAATATGTCTAAAAGTCTCCTAAAGGAACCTTCAAGATGGCGGAGGAGTAAGACGTGGAGATCACCTTCCTCCCCACAAATACATCAAAATTACATCTACATGTGGAACAACTCCTAAAGAACACCTACTGAATGCTGGCAGAAGACCTCGGACTTCTCAAAAGGCAAGAAACTCCCCATGTACCTGGGGAGGGCAAAAGAAAATAGAAAAAATGAGACAAAAGAATAGGGATGGGACCTGCACCAGTGGGAGGAAGCCATGAAGGAGGAAAGGTTTCCACACACTAGGAAGCCCATTCGCAGGCGGAGACTGCGGGTGGCGGAGGGGCGGAGCTTCAGAGCCACTGAGGAGAGCGCAGTAACAGGGGTGCGGAGGGCAAAGCGGAGAGATTCCCGCACAGAGGAGCGGTGCCGACCGGCACTCACCAGCCCGAGAGGCTTGTCTGATCAACCGCCGGGGCAGGCGGGGGCTGGAAGCTGAGGCCCGGGCTTCGGAGGTCAGATCCCAGGGAGACGACTGGGGTTGGCAGAGTGAACACAGCCTGAAGGGGGGCTAGGGCGCCACATTTAGCTGGGAGGGAGTCTGGGAAAGTCTGAAGCTGCCAAAGAGGCAAGAAAACATTGTTTCGGGGTGCGTGAGGAGAGGGGATTCCTTCCCCATCTGCCCACAGAAGGCGGAGCACCACCTAAACAAGATCCAGGGACAAGCACGAGCCGGCCTATGAGCTTGGACACCAGAGATGGGCTGAAACGTTAATGCTGCTGCTGCAGCCACCAAGAAGCCTGTGTGCAAGCACAGATCACTATCCACACTCCCCACTGGGAGCCTGTGCAGCCCGCCACTGCCGGGGTTCCGTGATCCGGGGACAACTTCCCCGGGAGAACAAATGGCGCGCCTCTGGCTGTTGCAATGTCACGATGGCCTCTACTGCCACAGGATCGCCCCGCACTCCAATTATAAATACTGTACCCCTCCCTCCCCCTGGCCTGAATGAGCTAGAGCCCCAATCAGCCACTGCTTTAACCCCATGCTGTATGGGTGGGAACAGATACCTGAGGGCTACCTACATGCAGAGGCGGGGCCAAATCCAAAGCTGAACCCCAGAAGCTGTGCGAACAAAGAAGAGAAAGGGAAATCTCTCCCAGCAGCCTCAGGAGCAGTGGATTAAATCTCCACAAACAACCTGATGTACCCTGTATCTGTGGAATACCTGAATAGACAATGAATCATCCCAAAACTGAGGAGTTGGACGTTAGAAGCAACTGTAGACACGGCGTACACTGTCTGCGACAGTTTTGTTTCTGATTTTTATGTTTATCTTAGTTTAGTGTTTAGCGCTTGTTATCACTGGTGTATTTCTTTATTGGATTGGTTGCACTCTTTTTCTTGTTACTATTATTTTTTTTAAAATAATCTTTCTTCCTTTCTTTCTTTCCTCCCTTCCTCCCTTCCTTCCTTCCTCCCTCCCTCCCTTCCTCCCTCCCTCCCTCTATCTGTCTCTCTCTCTTTCTTTCACACTTTTCTTCTGAGCCATGTGGCTGACAGGTTCTTGGTACTCTGGGCTGGTGTCAGGCCCGAGCCTCCGAGGTGGAAGAGCCGAATTCAGGACATTGGTCCCCCAGAGACCTCCCGGCTCCACATAATATCACTAAGGAAGAGCTCTCCCAGAGATCTCCATCTCAACACTAAGGCCCAGCTCCACCCAACAGCCAGCAAACTCCAGTGCTGGACACCCCAGGCCAAACAACTAGCAAGACAGGAACACAACCCCACCCATTAGCAGAGAGGCTACCTACAATCATACTAACTTTACAGATACGCCCAAACACACCACCAGATGTGGCCATGCCCACCAGAAAGACAAGATCCAGCCCCAACCACTATAATACAGGCACCAGTCCCCTCCAACAGGAAGCCTACACAAGCCACTAAACAACCCTCACCCACTGGGGGCAGACACCAAAAACAACAGAAACTACGAACCTGCAGCCTGCAAAAAGGAGACCCCAAACACTAAGTTAAGCAAAATGGGAAGACAGAGAAATATGCAGATGAGGAGCAAAGTAAAAATCCACCAGACCAAACAAATGAAGAGGAAATAGGCAGTCTACCTGAAAAAGAATTTAGAATAATGATAGAAAAGATGATCTAAAATCTTGGAAATAGAATGGAGAAAATACAGGAAACGTTTCACAAGTAACTAGAAAATTAAAGAGCAAACAAACAATGATGAACAACACAATAAATGAAATTAAAAACTCTCTAGAAGGAATCAATAGCAGAATAACTAAGGGAGAAGAACGGAT